AATATCGAAATTAGAAGAAAAGTGCACTATTTTTTATTAAAAATTTTCGATATTTCGACAAAAAAGAATTTTTTTATTTTTCCAAGATTTTTCCAAGGTACATAAACTTTTAGGATTGACTGTATAGCCAATACATCCTTAAGTATAAGAATTGTTCTTAGGCGATGGGAATGTATAATACGAGCCATTGTGATTCCGCGTGAAATCAAGATGCAGATTATATTAATGAATCAGTTTTTAATACAATATCTTATTTGAATTTCCAATATCTGTCCTCGTGGATACACGGAAATCTTTCGATCGTACGAAATCCTTGGATCAAACGGACTTAACGAAGTTACGAATTATATAAACAGAACAGTTTTATCTTTGAATAATCATTTCACGTCTTTGTTGCCATGAAAATACTAACGAGCCTATTTCCAGATGTTACATAATAATCGATGATCAGTTACTGTTATCGGATTATCAGGAAAGATCGAGCGATTTCACGGTTGCGCAAGTATCCGCGGATTATTCACGAAACTATTATGATAACAATCGTTCCTTGATTGTGAAACGATTTAAGAAATGCCGGTTTACGTGACCGGTGCCAAGCTCGGAGAATAAAAATTATTTCACGCGTACAAAATATTTGCATAGGTGCACGTTCTTCAGTATATTAAAAGCACGTCACTGATGATCCGCGTGTCACGCAAACACGCCTGGTATCTGAATTCCGTGGAAGACTCATGATTCATTGATATTTCGTCTGAACCGGTTCGTTTGAATCGCTGTTTTAAGAATTCAAGGAGCAACGAATCGTTGATCGATTTCATTCTCGAATTTACATGGCAATGATAGCCTTAGTTCAACGGGAAAAATTGCATTCGCTTTGGTTCGTTAAAAAGGAGCGACGTGACCAATGTTTATCGCGAGACGAAAATACGAGGATAATTCACATAATTTCTACGTGACCGGTACGAGGAACATGTTAAGAAAGTGCCACGAATTCTTCCCGGATCATTGTTTTTTATGAATTCTTTCCTGCTTACACGCAAACAGGGAAAGTGAATCACCAGCGAACGTTAACCGCCAGTGAGAGAGAGAGACAGAGAGAGAGAGTAGATCTTCGGTGATCAGCAAACATGCTGCACAATAAAATTGTTATCTGCGATATAAGTGCACTTTCACTGTACCATTAGCGCTGGTATATTCAAGGTGAACGATGAAACCGTTCTGTCGTCAATGAATAGAACTCCCATTATTTCCAATTCACTTTCCTTCGTGTCTATTGAAAACGATTTCCCCCCATAGTCAGATCGGCTCACAAATTCACTTAATATTAAAACTTGAAGTATACCTACTCCTACTGGAGGTGTAAAAATTAGTAGTCATAAGAAAAGACAGCAATTTTTACGTTTTTATCGTAAACTAAAAACTAAAATAAAATATCGTGTCTTCATGCTCCTATTTCACTTATTTAATATCCCAGATTTCTATGCACGTCGTTATAGTTA